AAAAAAAAAAAAAAAACTTTCAGGACAGCAAAAAAGGATTAAATGAGATAATATCCACCTAGAACTGGGGAGGAGAGCCAGGCACATGTGGCAGGGCATGCCTGTAATCCTAGGGTTTGGAAAGGCAGAAGGATTTCAAGTTTGAAGCCAATCTGGGTTACATACCAAAACATTATCTCAACCTTGGGCTGGTGGCTCATACCTATAATCCTAGCTACTCAGGAGGATGAGATCTGAGGATTATGTTTCAAAGCCAGTCCAGGCAGGAAAATCTGTACGAGACTTACCTCCAAATAGCTAGCAAAAAGCCAGCATTGGAGCTGTGGTTCAAGTGGTAGAGTGCCAGCCTTGAGAAAATACTTAAGGGAGCCAGGCTCTGGTGACTCATACCTATAATCCTAGCCACTCAGGAGGCTGAGATCTGAGGATAACGGTTGGAAGCCAGCCAGGCAGTAAAATCCATGAGATTCTTATCTCTAATTAACCACTCAAAACCATAAGTGGAGCTGTGGCTCAGAGTAGTAGAACACTGCCTTAAGCAAAAGAGATCAGGGACAGTACCTAGGCCCTCAGTTCAAGCCCCAGGACCAACATATGAGTTGGAGCCCCAGTAAACACACACACACACACTCACACACGCATGTGTGCGCGCACACACACACACACACACACCTGGGAGGAATAATTGAAGGAATAATTGAACTCCAGCTGCCATCCATTTTCCCAGAGACTGCTCATCTCCTGTTGCCCACCCCTTGCCAAGGAGTCTCAGGCCTGGCACAGTAGGCAGGGCCATTGCCCCCAGAAGTTGGGGACAACTGGCACCAATGGTGGTCTAGTGACCAAGCTGGGCAAATTGGGGGGTCACTAAGCTTCAGATCCAGAGTGGGGCCTGTGTTCCTGGTAATCATCAACGGAGGAGGCTCAGGGAGGCCAGGGTGAGAAGGAGAGAGCCAGGACTGAAAAGGAATTTGAGGTCTGGATTCCTGTCCCTGAAGATGCCACTTGCTTCCTGAAAGATGGCTTGCATGCACTGGCTCACTCACCCCATTGCAAAACTCTGGTCATGATATGTGATGTGCCCCACCCACTCTTGTGTGTGTGTCTGTGTGTGTGTGTATTTATTTATTTTATTTATATAGTTTATATGTTATATATGGTATATAAATATAAACATATTTATATAAATGTACTATATTTATACTTTATATTCATATATGACATTTTATATTTTATGTGTTATATATTGTATAAATATATACTACATGTAATGTGTTTATATTTATATATATTCAATGTTTATATATTACATTTTATGTAGTTATATATTTGATACATTTACATATTATATAATTATATAATTACTATGTATTATATATAAAATGTACTATACAAATACAGATTTATAAATATATAGTATGTAATAGAATGTTATATAATTGTATTATATTTAATTATTATATATTACATTATATATTAATTCTATAATATATAATATATAAATACATTGTTATATAGTTTATTTTATATATTAATATATTATTATTAATATATACTATATTTAATTTTTTTTTGGTCAGTCATGTCCTGAACTCTGGGCCTGGGTGCTGTCTCTTAGCTCTTCAGCTCAAGGCTAATGCTCTACCACTTGAGCCACAGCGCCACTTCCGGCTTTTTTTCTGCTTATATGGTGCTGAGGAATTGAACCCAGGGCCTCATGCATGCAAGGCAAGCACTCTACCACTGAGCCACCTTCCCAGCCCCTATGTTTAATATTTATATAGTCCATTTATATTTAAATACATTGTATCTTATATATCTTATGAATAAATACATTATATTTGTATGTTTATATTTAATATTTATATATTTATGTATTATATATAATTTCTTTTTTTTTTTTTTGCGGTTGTGGGGCTTGAACTCTGGGCCTGGGCGCTTGTCCCTCAGCTCTTCAGCTCAAGGCGAGTGCTCTACCACTTGAGCTACAGCACCACTTCCGGTTTTCTAGTGGTTTATTGGAGATAGGAGTCTCACGGTCTCTCCTGCCCGGGCTGGCTTTGAACCTCGATCCTCAGATCTTAGCCTCCTGAGTAGCTAGGATTACAGGCATGAGCCACTGGCGCCCGGCCTTATATATAATTTCTAAATTCAAAGAACATTGAAAGAGTAGCAGCATGGTGGTGGGCTGAGGGCAAAGGCTCTGAAGTAGAAATGCCATGTCCAAGTCCCTCTGTGGCTGCTTGAGCACCAGAGAGCAGCCCTCTGCTCACTGTGGGACCTCTCACATGTTTTAGCTATTGTTTTCTTGTTCACTCTAGTGCAGAATCTTTATTTTGTTCTTTTTGTAGTACTGACATTGAATCTTCCACATGCTAAGCAGGAACTGTACCACAGAGCTACAGATTGGCCTCTAAAAATGGTGATAGTTAAGCTGAGCCTGGTGGTGCCCACCTGTAATTCCTCGGGAAGCAAAAAAAGAATCGAAAGTTCAAGCCCAGCCAGTGCTACATAGTAATTTCAGGCCAGTCTGAGTTACATAGTGAGACATTTTAAGGAAAAACAAAATGTTTTCACAAAATTAAAAAATAAAAATAAAGTAAGCCAGATGCCAGTGGCTCATACCTGTAATTTTAGCTACTGAGAAGGCAGAGCCTGGAGGATCATAGTTTAAAACCAGCCTTGGTAGAAAAGTCCAAAGTAACTAACAAAAAGCTAGACTGGGGCTGGGAAGGTGGCTCAGTGGTAGAGCGCTTGCCTTGCATGCATGAGGCCCTGGGTTCGATTCTTCAGCACCACATATGCAAAAAGAAAAAAAGCCAGAAGTGGTACTGTGGCTCAAGTGGTAGAGCGCTAGCCTTGAGCTGAAGAGCTGAGGGACAGCACCCAGGCCCAGAGTTCAGGCCCCATGACCAGACCCAAAAAAAAACTAGACTGGAGGTATGGTTCAAGTGGTAGAGCCCTAGACATGATCAAGGAAGCTGAACAATAATGAGGCCCTGACTTCCAGCCCCCAGTACCAGCACAAAAAATGAAAATAAAGATAAAAAGCTATGTATTCCTGTACTGAGTTTCTCCTATTATCAATGTCCTATAATGAATGTAACGTGAATATGATACATTTGTCATAATTAGTGAACCAATATTGATACATTACTATTCATCAGTGGTTTCCTAATTTTCCCCATATGCCCTCCTAGGCTCCCCAGGGCTGGGATAGGGAGTGTCTCAGAGTGTCCTTGACTTTGATGTCCTTGACAGATTGAAGGACTGGCCACTGCTCTGTACCGTGCCCTGATCTGGATCTTTCTGGTGTTTTCATGGTTAGAGCAGGCAGGGTGCAGGTTTTAAAGGAGAAAGACCACAGAAGTGGGCACATGACATCCTCATGACTGACCTTGATCACCTAGCTGGATGGCATGGAAATTTTTTGTCTTCTTTAATTCAACAGATGTTTATTAAGCACCTACTGAATGCTAAGTAGTGCATCAGGAGCTAGGGGCAGAAAATTAATGTGGGCCTTTCCTTCCAAACAGGCACCGTGCTGGGCATATTAGTGCATAATTATGATCCCAGCACTCAGGAGGCTGAGGCAGGAGGATCTGGAGCTGGAGGCCAGCCGGGGCTATATGGCAAGACTCCATATAATTCATTCATTCATAATAGGTTTGTGAATTACAAGGCAGACCGGCAGGAACTGAAGTCATTGCTATGGAACAGGTGTTGGGTTGGGGTGGGGGGGAGTGTTTTCAAGAAAAGAGACAAGAAAATGAGCACAGGTACAGGGAGGAGGGTTGACAGAATGATTGCAGAGTAAGAATGTTTTACAAAGGTCCCAGGGTCTCCCTTTCCAGTCTGAGGGAACAGAGGGGAAGCAGAGCATGGCTGGGGGGGGGGGACGAGGACAGGGAGTGAGGCTGGGATGCAGGAGGGGGAGGCGACAAGGGTGTAGGAGGAGGTGGGGCTGGAATGTTTGATGAGGCTATGGGGCGTGGCTTGGATGCTGGAGGGAGCAGGGCTAAGATGCAGGAGGAGGCAGAGTTGGGGTGTGAGAAGGGGCAGGGACTGGGATGCATAAGGGGGTGCATCTGGGATGCCGGTTGGGCGGAGTGAAGATGCAGGAGGAGGTGGGACTGGGATGCATAAGGGGGCGTGTCTAAGATGCAGGAGGGGGTGGGACTGGGATGCATAAGGGGGCGTGTCTAAGATGCAGGAGGGGGTGGGACTGGGATGCATAAGGGGGCGGATCTGGGATGTCAGATGGGCGGGGTTAAGATGCAGGAGGGGTGGGGCTAAGGTGTTCTGCATCTTAGAAAGATGCCTGGATTCCACTCTGCCATTAAGAGCCACAAGGGTGCAACCAAGCGCCCGTGGCTCACGCCTATAATCCCAGCTGCTCAGAAGGCTGAGATCTGAGGAGCGCAGTTCAAAACCAGCTCAGGCAGGAAAAGTCCAAGAGACTCTTATTAACCACCAGAAAACCGGAAGTGGCGCTGTGGCTCAAGGGGTGGAGCGCTCACCTTGAGCTGAAGAGCTCAGGAACAGCGCCCAGGCCCAGAGTTCAAGCCCCACGACCGACAAAAATAAAAGCCACAGCAGAGTTTGGGGTGAGTGAGTGACACGGGTAAGCTGCTTTTCTCCGTGGTTTCGGAGGCCTCTTGGACGGCAACAGAAGAGATAGAGGTCCCTCAAGGAGCGTGTTTTCAGGGTTCACACAGGTGGCCTCAGGACTGGAGAGGAGAGGCCAGCAGGGAGTGACGGGCCTGAGTTCTGTCTTGCCCTGGGGCAGAAAGGAATCACCTGGGCCTTCCATGATGGGTGGGCAGAATGTGGTGGCATGGCCCAGGTAGACACCCCTGCTATTGAAGGAAGGGTGGATTTTCCCTCTTCCCAAGTGTTGAGTTTATCTGGGTGGGGGGTGGAGAGATGCAAAAATCCTGGCCCAGCCCCAGCCCACAGGGGAGGATTCTGGGACCCTGAAATTTTTTCCTGCTTCTTCTAGAGTGTCATCCCTCCCGGCCCCGTGATTGCTCTGCAACCCACCTCATCTGTCAACTTCTTAATTGAGGTACAATCCATATACCAGGAAATGTAACCGCTCTAATGTGTGCAGTTTAGTGATACTTAGCCCAGACACAGCATTGTATAACTCTCACTTACCTATATCTAGAATTTCCCTATCAGCCCAAAGGGAGCCCCTGTGCCCGTCAGGCAATCATTGTCCATTCCCTTCTCTTCCGCTCCTTAGAAAACACTAATCAGTGTTCTAGCTCTACAGATTTACCCATTCTGGGTATTTCATATAAGTGTGTGACATTTACATCTGGCTTCTCTCACCAAGCACCTGTCCATCCATGTTGTAGTGTGTGTCCATGAGTGCTTTGTTCCTTTTCATGGCTAAGTAATATTCCACCAGGTGACTAACGCACGTTTTGATGATGTGTTCATCCCCCTGATGGATGTTTGTTTCCACATTAAGGTCTTGTGAACATGCTGTTATGTGCATTCACATACAGACATGTCTGGTTGGGTTTTTGTTTATTTTTGTACTAGTCCTGGGGCTTGAACTCAGGGCCTGGCCACTGTTCCTGAGCTTCTTTGGCTCGATTATTGTTCTACCACTTGAACCACAGTGCTACTTCTTGCCTTTTCTGAGTAGTTTATTGGAGATAAGAATCTCATGGACTTTTGGGCTGGGAAGGTGGCTCAGTGGTAGAGTGCTTGCCTTGCATGCATGAGGCCCTGGGTTCCATTCCTCAGCACCACATAAACAGAAAAAGCCGGAAGTGGTGCTGTGGCTCAAGTGGTAGAGCGCTAGCCTTGAGCTGAAGAGCTGAGGGACAGCGCCTAGGCCCATAGTTCAGGTCCACGACTGGCAAAAAAAAAAAAAGAATCTCATGGACTTTTGTGCCCAGCCTGGCTTCAAACTTTGATCCCCAGATCTCAGCCTCCTGAGTAGCTAGGATTACAGGCATGAGCCACTAGTGCCTGGCTTATCTGGTTGTTGTTTTTTCCGTTCTTGGATAGATCTCTAGGAAGGAACTTGCTACTAGATCACCAAACGGTAGCTCTCATGTTTACATTTGTGAGGGATTGTCTTTTCCGTCTTGCTGTGGTTTTTAGTGCAAGGATTTACCTCTGTCTGTGATAGAAAGTTTGGGTGATTGCTTCCTGGTCTTTCCCCAGATTTACCAGAAGGGCAGGGTGATTCCCGCCCTGGTGTGTGTGTGGGGGGGGGGAACAGAGCAAGGAGGACACAGGGACTGATGGAACTATTAGGGGTAACGGGCCATCTTGGCCCAGCACTTGGTAGGAGGAAAAGCTAGCAGTAACGGTTTCACAATCACCCACAGATATTTGCTCAGTTAAGCTGATATAGCCCCAGAGGCTAAATGGCAAAGGTCTAGGGGACTTGAGGAAGGAAGAAGCGAATGCTCCGAGAGGAAGAGGGAAAGGAGGTGGAGGGACCTGCCAGCGGGGCTTTTCTGTCCCTACACGACCTTCAATGAAGCCACACCCATGGCTTCCCACCTTGCTGGCCTGGCTCAGCTTCCGGAGGTGTGGCCATGCTGTGGTGGTATGGCAGGGTCAGGGTAGGTAACCCACCAACTGCTCTGCAGTTGGGACCCCTTTGGGGGCAGATGAAATGGAACAGAAGTGAAGTGTTGGGATTTTGAGGGTGTCAAGGGGCTGGGAGTGCCCCCACACTCAGAGGCCAGGGCCTTGTCTGTGCAACTCAGTGTCCATCTGCCAGGACGAATGGCAGTACCTCCCAGGCCTTGGCCTTGCCCACCTTCTGCACACCATGCCCATGTGTGAGCAGTGTCCTGCCCGCAGGCCACCCCCAGCAAGTGCTGGGGACAAGTAATTAAGTCCATGTTGTGAAGAGAGCCCGGGCAGAGGCAAACCAAGTCTGAACCCCAGACCTAGCCAAGGTGGCAAGATCTGGCCAGTGCAGGAAGTGTGTGCTTGTGTGCATGTGTGATTGCTTGTGCATGCGCAGTCCTGTAAGTGGAGTAGTGTGACAAAGTGCTGAGTATGCAAGAATAAGAAAGTGTTAATGGGCTGGGAAGGTGGCTCAGTGGTACAGCGCTTGCCTGACATGCATGAAACCCTGGGTTTGATTCCTCAGCACCACATAAGCAGAAAAAGCTGGAAGTGGCCCTGTGGCTCAAGGAGTAGAGTGCTAGCTAAAGAGCTGAGGGACAGCGCCCAGGCCCAGAGTTCAGGCCCCATGACCGACAAGACAAAAAAAATCACACATTAGTGTGATTGCCAAGTGTGGTTATGCATACCTTTAATCCTAGCACTCAGGAAGCCAAGGTAGCCAAGTGCCAGTGGCTCATGACTATAATCCTAGCCACTCAGGCAGATGAGATCTAAGGATCTCAGTTGGAAGCCAGCCTAGGCAGGAAAGTCCTTGAGACTCTTATCTCTAGTTAAGCACCAAAAAAAGCTAGAATTGGAGGGGCTGTGGCTCAAGTGGTATAACAGTAACCTCAAGCAAAAACAAGCTGGGCTGGGAAGGTGGCTCAGTGGTAGAGCGCTTGCCTTGCATGCTTGAGGCCCTGGGTTTGATTCCTCAGCACCCCATAAGCAAAAAGAAAACAGCCGGAAGTGGCGCTGTGGCTCAAGTGGTAGAGCGCTAGCCTTGAGCTGAAGAGCTGAGGGACAGCACCCAGGCCAAGAGTTCAGGCCCCATGACTAACCAAAAAAAAAAAAGCAGCTCAGGGACAGAGCCTAGGCCCTGAGTTGAAGCCCCAGGACTGCCCCACACACATACTGAGAAAGAGAGGGGGAAGGGAGGGAGAGAGGGAGAGAAGGAGGGAGGGAGGAAGAAGATGAGGCAGTATGAGTCCAGTCTGAACTACATAGTGAGTTCAAGGCTGGGTTATGTAGTGACTCTGGAAGAAAAGAGGTGAGGAGGGAAGGGAAAAAAGGTAGGAAAGGAGGGAGGAAGGAGGGAGGGAGGGAGGGAGGGAATGTGAAAGAGTAAGTGTGCTCACATGTGCAGAGGTGAATGTGTGTGTGTGGATGTAATAGTATGTATGAGTGAAAATGACTATGTGTGTTTGGTATGTATATGAGTGTCTCTGTGTGTGCATATGCACACACACGCATGCATGTGTACATGTGCAGCCTTCAGGAAGATTGTTTCTGATGCTAGGCTCTGTTTAAGAGTCTAGGAATAAGTCAAGAGAAAGTTCTAGAGGGTTCAGAGGGTTCCTGCTCCATGTATTGACCACAGTTTATTTTGCATGAACTACACATTAATGTGTGTGATGGATGGCTACATAAACTCTACTGGGGGGTGGTTCCTGAGCTTTGGGTTTTGGTTTGGTTTTTTAAATCAAAAACTCCAGCTTTGGGGGGAAGAGGAATGGGTCCCACACACTCAGATGCTGGTCCCTCTGCTCAACAGAAACAGAGGGGGCCCAGTCCACCACCCCTAACTCTCTCCCCTTTCTCTGAGCTCTCACTCAGCTCCTCTAAGCTAGTGGGCGTGCTGAAGCCTCGGGTCTCCTTACCTCTGCTACCTCTTCCCCATCCCCCCCAGATCTGAAGCCACCTTCCCAGTCTCTACCTGCTTAGATAGCACCTCGTGGTCAGCATTTCCTTACCTGAGTCCCGTCCATCTGGGCCTGGCAGGCTGCAGACTTTGACTCTATGAGGCCCTGGAGCTGGCCCCCCACTGGGTCTCTCGTGAATAATTAACTCCTAGTTAGGCCCTTAGCACTGGTGACCCCCAGCTAACCAAGAAAACAAACAAACAAACAAACCAGAGCCAACAGCCTGGGGAACCTTTAGGGGGGGGCAGAGATAGAACCACTGGCCCCAGGTGAGCAAAGAAGGAAAGGGGATTTAGCATGCCCTACATACTGGACAGGAAGGAGGACTGGAATGGAAGGCCCGGCCAGGGTGAAATCCAGCCCGATCCGTGAGCCCGCCAGTGCTGCCTAGGGGTGGGTGGGAGCTGTGGAAAGGTGCTCCGGGACTTGAAGCTGGCCAGGCAGAGGTAACGCAATCTGTTCTCATCTTGTCACTGCTGTTCAGGGAATCCGATGTCTCCTGTCCTAGGGCCCAGCGAGGCCATCAGAGAGCTAGGTCACGTGGGATCCAGGACACACAGAAGGGGGTGGGTAGAAGATGCCACGTGATGTAGAGATTTCTTCCTGCTTCCATGAACCCCAGATCTCTCCCATCTTCTCAGATCCTGACAACTCGTGACTGGGCAAAAGGAATATACCATCCCCAAGCCTCTTCCCCCACTCATCTCAGAGCCATTTGTGACCCCAGGAACCCTCTGCTAGGGAGTGGTCAGTGTCCTTATTTCCCACCCAGGTCCTGGCCAATCACAGAGCCCAAGAAGATCCTGACTGAGTAGCTATGGCTGACACTGATGGCTGAACACTATCAGGCCCTCTTTAACATGTTATACACCACAGTATGCTTCGTTTTCACAGCCATCTTCTAGGTAGAGCTTGTAAGATTTCAGTCTCGCCAGGCACCGGTGACTCACACCTGTCATCCTAGCTACTCAGGAGGCTGAGATATGAGGATTACGGTTCACAGCCAGCCTGGGCAGGAAGGTCCATGAGACTCCAATAAACCATCAGAAAGCCAGAAGTGGTGCTGTAGCTCAAGTGTAGAGCTGAGGGACAGCGCCCAGGCCCAGAGTTCAAGCCCCATGACTGACCAAAAAAAAAAAAAATTCAGTCTCTGGAGGACCAGAGAAGCCAAGTGACAGGCCCAAGGTCACACAGCCTGTCCATAAGGATCCAGATTCATCTGGACTTCGGGGGGTACTGCGGGGGGGGAGGGTAACATGGGGCTCATTTGCCTCCCACTAGACTGGCAGAAAGTAAGAAGCCATATCTTGAAGCCCCTCAAAGAGTCAGGCAGACCACCCCAAGAAGAATAGGAGAGATGTGTCTGGCACATGGCAGGCTGAGATCAGGACAGGTTCCCGGAACTGTGACACGTCCAGCTCTGGCTTCTGAGCCCAAGGGGCGGCAACAATTCCAGCCTTCGCCAGTGCCAGTCAATTAACAGTGGAGAATAATTGCTCTGCCGGTGCCAGCAGCTCACTCTGCTAGATGAGATGGGAAAGGTTAGAGATGTCCACATGAACTGCCCCCCCCCGGGGCCAGGCCACAGCAAGGGGACAGGGACCACACTGGCAGTTAAGGCTGTCCACGCAGGGGGCTTCTGTGTGCCCCAGACCCTGTGTTAAGGACTTGTGTGTGGAGTGGAGCCTTAGCCCTCACACTCGGGGACAGCCAGATCCTTCTGTCCTCATCCGGGCATCTGGCACAGATCCTCAGAGCCAGAGTCTGAGCTAGGAGAATCCTGATTGGCTATCAGCTGGCCCCCAGAGCATGTGGGGAACCAGAAGTAGGAAGTTTAGGATTGAGGAGTGTCCCAAAGGGGGGGTTGGCCTAGCTGGCCTGATGTTGACCATGTGTGTCTCTCATCTCCAGACAGACCTGTGATTCCTGCCCCCCCTTCCCCCCCCACCATGGCGAGCCCCACTCTGAGCCCCGACTCCTCATCTCAGGAGGCCCTGTCGGCCCCGACCTGCTCCCCGACCTCCGATTCCGAGAACCTCAGCCCTGATGAGCTGGAGCTGCTGGCCAAGCTTGAAGAGCAGAACCGGTGAGTGTGGAAAAGTGGAGGGGCCAGGGTAGGACCTCAGGATACAGCCTGGGCTCCTGGAAGAAATTCTCAGGGCCCAGTCACCCTTAGAACTAGGCCCGAGCTACCACCAACACTTGATGAAAGGTATGCCCTTTTATCTTCCCAACCCTGGGGCTGAAGATGAGGAGATCCAGGATGTTAGAGGTTAATGCCCCTTTCTGGTTTGCCTTCATGGTAGAATTTAAATTTGGGGGTATGTGTGGGGGTAAGAGATGGTTTTGCTTTGGGTATAGTGCTAGGGATGGAAACCAGGGACTTGAACATACTACGCAAGCCTTCTACTACTGAGCCACACCCCCAGCCCAGAACTTGAACTCAGGGCCTCAGACTCAGACTGTTTTCTTGTTTCTCTGGTGCCCTATCACTTGAGCCATGCCTCCAGTCCAGCTTTTTGCTGGCTAATTAGCAATAAAGTCTCTCAGATTCGTGTGTATGCTGGTACTAATACTTGAACTCAGAGACTAGGTGCTGTCCCTTAATTATTTCCCTCAAGGCTAGCATTTTTGGGGGGTAGAGAGAGGGAATCAGTCATGGGGCTTAAACTTAGAACCTGGGCACTGTCCCTGAGCTCTTTTGCTCACCATTTTGAGCCACAGCGCCTTTTCTGCGGGTTCATTATAGATAAGAATCTCATAGACTTTCCTGCCCAAATTGGTTTTGAACGATGATCCTCAGATATCAGCATCCTGAGTAGCTAGGATGACAGGTGTGAGCACCAGCACTCAGCCAAGCTGGCATTCTTTGTTTTTTTTTTCTTTTTGTCAGTCATGGGGCCTGAACTCTGGGCCTGGGCGCTGTCCCTCAACTCTTCAGCTCAAGCTAGTGCTCTACCACTTGAGCCACAGCACCACTTCTGGCTTTTTCTGCTTATGTGGTGCTGAGGAATGGAACCCAGGGCCTCATAAGTGCAAGGCAAGCATACTACCACTGAGCCACCTACCCAGCCCCAAGGCTGGCCTTCTTGAGTACTACTAAAGAGCCACAACTCTACTTACAGCTTTTTTTTTTTTTTTGTCAGTCGTGGGGCTTGAACTCTGGGCCTGGGCCCTAGGGGTCCCTGAGCTCTTCAGCTTAAGGCTAGCACTCTACCACTTGAGCCCACGGCACCACTTCCAGTTTTCTGGTGTTCATTGGAGATAAGAGTCTCACAGATTTTCCTGCTTGGACAGGCTTTGAACTCAGATCTCAGCCTCCTGAGTAGCTAGGATTACAGGCATGAGCCACTGGCACCCAGCTTACTTATAGCTTTTTGATGGCTAGCTGGAGAAAAGAATCTTGTGGACTTTCCTGCCCAGGCTGGCCTTGAACCACAATCCTCAGATTTCAAGATTGCAAACGTGAGCCACTGACACTCAGCTTCTCAGATTTTTCGGCCCAGGAGGACCTGGAACTTCATTTCTCCAGATCTCAGCTTCCTGAGTAGCTACAATTACAGGCATGCCAAACTTATAGATCAGGAAAAGACACTTTCTAATCACAGTTCCCAAAGGGAGGAGACATATGTCACCACCCAGGGCCATGCCAGGAAGCTCCCGGGCTGGTCAGGAGGCAGAGGGAACAAGGGAAAATGTGGGCTATTTTTACGGTGGTTTCCATGGGAAGGAATGGGCAAGGCAGGGTAGGTCAGCTTATGATTCACTAGTTTGACTCATTCCAGCCGACTCCAAGTTTAAGAACTGTACCTTGTCTGGTGCCCGGCCCTGGGGGGGGGACAGGTATGGGCAGGTGGACGGTGAACCAAGTATGAAAGTCTAAAGCGGCTAAGATGTGGGCTTTGAATTAGTTGAGATGTGGGCTTTGAATTTGTTGATTTGCATATGAAAAGTGTACTCCTTGCCTGGCACTGGTGGCTCATACCTGTAATCCTAGCTACTCTGGAGTTGAGATCTGAAGAGCCCAGTTCAAAGCCAGCCTGGGCAGGAAAGTCCTTGAGACTCTTATCTCCAATGAACCACCAGAAAACCTGAAGCTCAAAGTGGTAGAGTATTAGACTTGAGTTAAAAAAAAAGTTCAGGGACAGCACCCAAGCCCTGAGTTCAAGCCCCACAACTGACCCTCCCCCCAAAAAAGTACAAAGTACACTGCTAGGTAGGAATGTCCTTTACTGTCTCTAGGAGCTAGCCCTTATAGGGTCTGACCATCTTTCCTGACAAGATCCACAGAGCCCAGCTGTCAAAGCATCACAACCGGGTAGTTAGCCAGTCCTGGTGGTTCATGCCTGTAATCCCAGCACTCAGGAGATTATGAAGATCATGAGTGCCAGGCCAAGTGCTAGGGGGCCTGTCCCATAATCACGAAGTCCTGAGTTCGAGGACCAGTTACTGCTGAGAATGAGAGCAAGGAAGGGAGAGGAGGAAGGAAGGAAGCAAGGAAGGGAGGAAGGAAGGAAGGAAGGAAGGAAGGAAGGAAGGAAGGAAGGAAGGAAGGAAGGAAGGAAGGAAGGAAGGAAGGAAGGAAGGAAGGGAGGAAGGAAGGGAGGGAGGGGGAGGGAGGGAGGGAGGGAGGGAGGGAGGGAGAGAATAGAGAGAAGGAGGGAGGAAAAAGAAGAAAAGAGGGTGGGGAAAAGGAAAGAGAAGGAAGGAACGAGGGGAAGGGAGGGAGGGAGGAAAGTTAGTACAAGTTAATAGAACCCCTTTCTAGCTGGGTGTCTTTAGCCAGGACTTGCTCTCTGGGCTCTCTCCCTACATCCCATCCTTGTCCCCACCCCGCAAAATTCTAACTCATCTGCAAAGATGTCTTTGGGGTTGAGAATGAAAGGATTCAGCTACTCAAGTGTTTAGCGCCAACAAGGACACACAAGGGCTCGTGGAGGGAGACAATGCTCAGAGAGGTTGGGCCACTGGCCAAGGTTGCTCAGCTATAAGAACATGGACCCCGACCCCAATGTCCTGACACCCACCCCCCGACCTTGCAGGAGGACTGGCTAGGTTCCCCCATAGATAGCCCCCTTGTCCCCAGGGAGTCCTCCAGAGCCCCCCCTCCACCTCCCCCCTCCACCCCTGCCTTCCCTCCCCAGGCTCCTGGAAGCCGATTCGAAGTCCATGCGCTCCATGAACGGCTCTCGGAGGAACAGCGGCTCCTCACTAGTGTCCAGCTCCTCAGCCTCTTCCAACCTGAGCCACCTGGAGGAGGACACGTGGATCCTGTGGGGCCGCATCGCCAACGAGTGGGAGGAATGGCGGCGCCGGAAGGAGAAGCTGCTCAAGGTGGCAAGGGGAGTAACCAGCAAGCCGGGCAAGCGAGGCCGGGAGGGCGGTGGCACAGGAGGTCAAGGTGGTCACTGGGCTATGAGCAGAGCCATGGGTCCCCCCCCACACACACACCTTCCCCAATGACTTCCGTGCCACACCTGAGGGTCTCAATGGGGATCAGGGGGCGGGTGCTGTCCTCGGGGCACAGCCCGACTCCCGCCTCCTGTGTCTACCCACCCCCCGGCCGCAGGAGCTCATCCGCAAGGGCATACCGCACCACTTCCGGGCCATTGTGTGGCAGCTTCTGTGTAGTGCCACAGACATGCCAGTCAAGAACCAGTACTCAGAGCTGCTCAAGATGTCCTCGCCGTGCGAGAAGCTCATCCGCAGGGACATCGCCCGCACCTACCCCGAGCACGAGTTCTTCAAGGGCCAGGACAGCCTGGGCCAGGAAGTACTCTTCAATGTCATGAAGGTAAGGCCCGCCCCCCTAGCGCCCTGGGAGCTCTCCTGACCTTCCACGCGGGCCAATGGGAATCTGCACTCACGGCCCCATGCCCATGGTTTCCTTGCAGGCATATTCCCTGGTAGACCGAGAGGTGGGCTACTGCCAGGGTAGTGCCTTCATTGTGGGCCTGCTCCTCATGCAGGTAAGTGGCCCAGGCTCCGCCCCCTGCCCCCCCTCCCCCGGAAGTAGACACTAACAGAGTGCCCCTCCTCCTCCATCCAGTGTCCTCTGACAGTTCACAGGCCATGCTTCTTTCTACCATGCCATCCAGGGACCTGGGAGACCTCAGCATTCTGGGGGCCTGGGAGTTTACTCCAGAAAAAAAAAAGGTTTAGGACACACACACACACACACTTTTGGTTTGGTTTGGGTTTTTTGGTCAGTCACGGGGCTTGAACTCAGGGACTAGGCGCTGTCCCGGAGCTCTTTTGCTCAAGGCTAGTGTTTTACCACTTTGAGCCACAGCTCCACTTCTAGTTTCTTTCTGGTAGTCACTTGGAGATAAGAGTCTCATGGAGAGTTTTCTGCCCAGGCTGGCTTCAAACCATGATCCTCAGAGCCCAGCCTCCTGAGTAACTAACAATACAAGCATGAGCCACCAGTGTTTGGGGGGTTTTTGTTGTTGTGGTGGTTTTGTTTGGGTTGGTCCCAAAGTTTGAACTCAAGGCCCCATATTTCTTTGGGTTGCTTGCACAGCTGGCGTTCTACCACTTCAGCCATGCCTGCAGCCCAGTTTTTTGCTGGTTATTTGGGAGATAAAGTCTCACAGATTGTTCTTCCCATGATGGCTTCAAACCATGGCCCTACAGATCTCAGCCTCCTGAGTAGCTAGATTACAGGCCTGAGCCACGGATGTCCTGCTAGAATGAGGAGAAAGAGAGGCAGCAGGAGGTGTGGTGGCAGAGCTGGATTCAGGCCCCAGCTCCATTATTTCCTTCTGGTGACCCTCAGCAGGTGAATTTCACCTCAGGTGAAATTCCATCAGCATGACTGGTGGCTTGTCCAGGTGGTCAGCTACAGTCTGGGTCCAATCAATACAAGCAGAGCAAAAATGGGGCATGCGCACCGAGACCCTTCCAAAAGCCACTATCACAGCTGTCCCCTCAATTCCCCCTGCCATACTCAGAGCTTCTGCCCGCCTGTCCCCCCACCCCCACCCCCAGATGCCCGAGGAGGAAGCCTTCTGTGTGTTCGTACGGCTGATGCAGGAGTACCGGCTGCGGGAGCTCTTTAAGCCCAGCATGGCTGAGCTGGGGCTCTGTATCTACCAGTTTGAATACATGCTGCAGGTGAGGGGGGAGGGTGGGGATTGGGGGGGAACTACCCTAGTGTCCCCAGGAATCTCTTGGAATGAAAAGCCCAGGCCTGAGAAATCACACCTGGAAGTCACCACCCAGAAAGGGGACTCCTGCCCCATTCCCATGGGGGGGGGATTGGGGGGGGTTCTGGGCCACCAAGATGGAGAAGGAGGGGGCAGGCTGGCGCCATCAGACACCCCCTCCTACCCCTTCCTGTGTGTTCTGGGTGTCGTGGAGGGAGGGAGAGTGTTGTCTGCCTGCCACCGCTGATTACGAGGGAGCCTCAGACGGGCTCTGTTTATAAATAGCAGCCCCCGCCAGGCTGGCAGACAGCTATGGTGTTCCTGTTCTACACACACACACACACACACACACACACACACACACACACAGGAGCCGTGGATCAATGAGCACCCCTCTTTTGGACCCCAAAAGGACAGTGTTTCTATGTGGCCAGAGGAGGGGGGGCGGGGAGGGGGAGGTGCCAAGGCCCAGGTTGATATGTGAACCCAGGACATAGAGAGTTCCAGACTCTAGGAAGAAGTTCAAGGTATCTAGTACCTCCAGCCTCAGTTCCTCCAGCAGTGCCTGTTTCCAGCAGTCTGAAGTTGAAGCCCATCCAACAGGATTCTGCCCTTCCCCACCGTACCCCCCAACCCCAGCACTGCTGGGCACAGAGCTTTATACTGGGAAATGTAGTAGGGCCCAGCAGTTGACAAGTCACCCATCACAGAGTGAACTGTGACAGACTCTGACCACAAGCCAGTAGGCTCTGCCTCTTGATTCTTGGTGGTGGTCTTGTGGGTAACCTAATGCCCCACCACCACTGCAAACTCCAGAAGCTTCTCTTTGGGGTGATCAAGAAAGCTCCATGAGGGCTGGGAAGGTGGCTCAGTGGTAGAGTGCTTGCCTAGCATGCACGAGGCCCTGGGTTCAATTCCTCAGCACCACATACACAGAAAAAACCAGAAGTGGCACCATAGGTCAAGTGGTAGAGTGCTAGCCTTGAGCTAAAGAGCTCAGGGACAAAGCCCAAGCTCAGTGTTCAGGCCCTACAACCGACAAGAAGAAAGAAGAAGAAGGAAGAAGAAGAAGAAGAAGAAAGGAAGGAGGAAGGAAGGAAGAAGAACAACAACAACAACGCTCCATGAGCAGGGTCCAGTGGCTCACGCTTGTAATCCTAGCTACTCAGGAGGCTGAGATCTGAGGATCACAGTTCAAAGCCAGCCTGGACAGAGAAGGCTCTGTGAGACTTTTATCTCTAATTAACCACTCAAAACTGGAAGTGGTGCTGTGGCTCAAATGGTAGAGCTCTAGCCTTGAGCACAAAGAGGCTCAAGGAGAGCACCTAGGCCCTGAGTTCAAGCCCTACATGAACAAAACAAAAAACCCAGAAAGTCCCATGAGCTGGGCACCAGTGGCTCATGCCTGTAATCCTAGATACTCAGGAGGCTGAGGTCTAAGGATAGTAGTTCAAAGCCAGCCTAGGCAGAAAAGACCATAAGACTCTTTTTTTTTTTTTTTTTTGTCAGCCATGGGGCTTGAACTCTGGGCCTGGGCGCTGTCCCTCAGCTCTTCAGCTCAAGGCGAGCGCTCTACCACTTGAGCTACAGCGCCACTTCCAGTTTTCTAGTGGTTTATTGGAGATAGGAGTCTCACGGTCTCTCCTGCCCGGGCTGGCTTTGAACCGCGATCCTCAGATCTCAGCCTCCTGAGTAGCTAGGATTACACCTGTGAGCTACCAGCACCCGGCCATAAGACTCATCTCCAATTCACTACCAGAAAACCAGAAATGGCTCTGAGGCTTAAAGTGGTAAAGCGCTAGTCTTGAGTGGAAGAACTAGGGATAGCACCTAGGCCCTGAGTTCAAGCCCCAGAACTAACAAAAAAGGAAAGAAAGAAAAAAAAAAAAGAAGCCCTATGAGTGGCTGCAACTGGAGCAGTCAGGCCAGTACCTGCCCATGGAGCACCATCACACTATGTCTGCCTGTGTCAACACCCATTGCTACTCCCCCCAGGCTTAGTAGCTGCTAAGAGAGCTCCATGAGCTTCCCAGGGCAGATCAGGGAAGGCTCCCTAGAGCCAGGGACACTGAGGCCTAACACCCTAGGGTATGTATGGCCAGCTCCCCTTCACTGTCCCTGCTGAACTTCCCTCCTCACAGGAGCAACTTCCGGACCTGAATACCCACTTCCGCTCCCAGAGCTTCCACACATCCATGTACGCCTCATCCTGGTTCCTCACGCTCTTCCTCACCACCTTCCCCCTGCCTGTTGCCACCCGTGTCTTCGACATCTTCATGTATGAGGTGAGGACTCTGTGGGGCGCCCCCACCACAGATCCTGACCCACCCACCCACTGACTGGGGTCGGGGGGGCCTGGGGAGGGATCTGAGCTGCCTGAGATGGAGGCGGGACGGGAACCTCACAGCCCCACCACCTCCACCTTTGCAGGGGCTGGAGATCGTGTTCCGGGTGGGCCTGGCCCTGCTGCAGGTGAACCAGACCGAGCTGATGCAGCTGGACATGGAAGGCATGTCCCAGGTAGGCCAGGAAGGCAGAGGGGGCAGGACCACCCCAACCAGGCGCAGGACTTCCTCCCACGTGACCAGAAGGCCTGGATTCCTAGAAGAAAGCCCTCTTGAGCATCTCAGATCCTTTCGGCTCTGTCCCCCCAAAGCTTTCCCTGAGGGCCTCCAAGATCTGCCCTCCCTAGTCAAAAGCCCAGCAGCCTGGCACTGGGGGGGGGGGGGAGACAGAGAAAGGCCCAGGCTCAGCTGGCCCCTGGGAGGTCCCTACACTGATCCAGGGCCCCAAAGCCTACTGGCAAGAGTAACTCTGGCTGAACCCACACACTTTGGATGGGCTGTCACCCCACTCCCTGGCCAGGAGAGGGCACAGGAAGGGAGCGCGAGCAAGTTGTCTGGGGTAGCCTCCCTGACCGGCCTGGGCTTGCCCGAGACCAGACTGCTTCTCACCACCATTTCCCCGGCACCCAGGGCCCTGCCCCCTCCCAGCCTCCTCCAGCTGGCACTCTCAGAGAAGAATACACAAAGGCCACGGTTGTGTTCCCCAAACACGGACGTCCATTGTCTACAATTGCCAGTGGGGGGCCAGCTGGGCTGGGGGGCAGGAGCAGTGTCCACTGAGGGTTACCTTAACCCTTTGCAGAAATCCCAGGGGTTCCAGATTACCTCTCAGCTGCACCTGCATGACGGGTCCCTGTGTTCAGCCCCCACACCCCCCAGCCTTCACCCTCAGAAGCTCCCAAGGCCTGATTTTCTCCAGACATGGAAGCCCTTGGCCACAGGCACCCTAGGAAGGCCGGCCCTTCCTTCTTCCCAACCCTTGCTTCTCACCCTCAGTCATTCATTCATTCCATACACACAGACTGAATGGTCACAATTGGCCAGGTAGGCCCTTGTGTGTGTGGGGGGGGGGGGGGGGGAGACACTACCGAGGCTCAGAGGCCTGCATGGCTCTGATCACCCGGGTCCCCACAGTACTTTCAGAGAGTGATCCCCCACCAGTTTGACAGCTGCCCTGATAAGCTGGTCCTCAAGGCCTACCAGGTCAAGTACAACCCCAAGAAGATGAAGAGGTAAATGCCCAGCATGGAGGTGCCAGGGAGGGGGAAAGGCTCTGGAGGCCAAGCAGCAACCTCACAACTCTCCCGCCCCCTCTGCAGGCTGGAGAAGGAGTATGCAGCCATGAAGAGCAAGGAGATGGAGGAGCAGATTGAGATCAAAGTGAGCCGAGGGCCTGGGGGGGTTGCTGAGGGAAGGGGACAGACATAGGTACCCTTAAGGGCTCCACTTCCAACTCCAGAACTGGCCACTAGAGGGCAGCCCTGCCCACTGTATGGTGGGCTTGGCCATCCTTGGCAGCCCACCTGTCTCCCATGATCTTCTGCCCACTTGCCCCTTCCTTCACCTGCCAGGCCGGTGTAGAAGCGCCTGCCCTAGCCAGCACATTCTCAGCACTGGCGACACAACAGTAAACAAGACAGCCAAGGTCTCTACCCTCGTGCCCCCCACTCTGTGTTGCCAGGAGACCGTCAATAAATCACTAAAATAGCATGGCTTCTGCAGAGTGCTCTGGATACAAGTGTGCAAGGGAGGGCCAGGCAAGCCTGGGAAGATGTTCCAGGCCCAGGAGCCCAGTGCAAATGGCCTGGGCCACAACATACATGCCTCGTGGGCAGGAAAGCCAAGGAGTCAGGCACCAGGTATATAGGCCAAAGGATGGGCACGCGCTCTGACTCCCTCAGTGTCTGGACCAGAAGTACCACCAGAGCCATGGGGTTTCCTGAGTGTGCCTTCTGTGCTCAAGCATTCATTGGGTCTCTGGACCAGTATAAGGGACAGACAGACAGGAGGGGACACCCCACATTGACTTGTGTCCTCATCAGAGACAGAGTTACACAGTGGCTGAAACTGAAATGCAAAAGATCAAGGTTCAAATCTCAGCTCTGTCCGGGACCAGCTGAGTGACCCTTGCCTAAGAATGCACTGCTATGAGCCTCAGTGGCCCTGTGGTTCAAGTCATTGTTGTTGTTACTATTGTCAATGTTGTCATCATCCTCCCCACCCCCACCCTGTGACAGGATCAGAATCCAAGTTAGATTAGAATCCAGGTCTTCTTTTTTTTTTTTTCTTTCCCAGTCCAGGGGCTTGAACTCAGGGCCTGGACACTGTCCCTGAGCTTCTTTTGCTCAAGGCTAGCGCTCTATCACTTGAACCACAGCACCACTTCTGGCTTTTTCCGTGTATATGGTACTGAGAAATGGAACCCAGGGCTTCCTGCATGTGAGGCAAGCACTCTACCACTAAGCCGCATTCCCAGTCAGAATCCAGGTCTTCTGAAGAGGACTGAAAGTGTCCTTGTCCTCACCCTGTTTGTTGGGTTTCCAGAAATTTCCCTGTGCTGGGTTTTGGGGTATCTCCCTTTCTCAGGAATGGCAGCTTAACTGATGCACCTGTTCAAACTGTGCTCTTGCTAAGAGCCTATTCTGGTAACCCAGCCATAGGCAAGCATGCCATTAGGCCAATCTGGAAATTTCCCCTGAAAAGGCCTGGAGAGCTCCAAAGCTTCCCCCTCACCCCAGTACTAGGGTTTGAACTCAAGAGCTTGAAGTCCCCTACCATTTGAACTTGAGACATACCCCATTTCTCCAGTGCTGTTCTCATTGAGTCCTGCCTATGGATCATTCACCAGTAGCCTGTTTCAAAATGTACCAGGGATTTTAAGTCAGGTAAAGCAACTCGAAGATAGACAGAAAACAAGGCACAGGTGACTCACACCTGTCACCCTACCTACTTAGGAGGCTGAGAACAGAGGATCATGGGTCCAAGCCAGCCTGGGCAGGAAAGTTCGTGAGACTTTTATCTCCAATAAACTACTCAGAAAAAGCTGGAAGTGGTACTGTGGCTGAAGTGGTAGAGTCCTAGCCTTGAGCATAAGGAGGCTCAGGAACAGAGCCCAGGCCAAAAGAAGAAGAAAAGAAGACAGAGTGACCACTGTCTTTGAAAGAAGATTTTATTACAGTCCCCATGAGGACAGACAGAAAGTGTGGGCCAAAACCTTTAGTGTGTTTTCCACAGGAACTACTGAGGCAGTATAGGCAAGTTTGGGCGGGCTCTGTACTAGACATTTAAAATTCCCACAACTCTAGCTGATCCTCTAGTTCCCAATAGTGGCACTGGAGCAGTTTAGGCAAGAGACATATTGGCGTTGTGTGTGAATATTACATAAAGAAGGGTAGTTGGGCTCTGTACTGGTTGTGTTGTACGTCAAAAACATAGCCTGACCTGGGCGCTGGTGGCTCACACCTATAATCCTAGCTATTCAGAAGGCTGAGATCTGAGGCTCATGGCTCAAAGCCATCCCAGGCAGAAAAATCCAGGAGACTCTTATCTCCAATGAACCACCAGAAAACCAAAACTGGCACTTTGGCTCATAGAGCCTCCTTTTGCTCATAGAGCACTAGTCTTGAGCAAAATGACATCACCCACAACTGACCGCCCCCCAAGCCATAGTTTGCTGTCTAGGAATTAACTAGTTCCACAGCAGGGAGGTGTCAAAGCATCATAATATACAGAAAAAAAATCCAGGATTAGTATGTAACTTCATATACTTACTCCTTGTGCATTCTTACTCTTGTTTTCCCTTTGGAATAAGCAGGAAATGGATTTGTTGGTCAAACCTGTCCATCTCATCCAAGAATAGCTCTCTTTGGTGCAAACGACCAGTTGAGGCCAGAAAAGGCAGAACAATCCAGAAGATAAATAGCCTTACTTTGTACCTAGATCTAACTCTGACCTGGCTATACTCCAGCAAGTCTTTGTCCCATTCTGACTCAGTTTCTCCCACTTTGACATCCACCAATGACCATGAAGTCCATTATTTGCTGACTGCAGTTGCATATTGGAAATGTCCTAGGTATTCTCATCAACATTTCTCCCCCAGAAGCAACCTGGGAAATGTTGGTGTGACCCACATTCATCTTCTGATCTAAACTATTTCTTCATAACCAGGATGCAGGGGTGTCTAGACACAGCATACATGTAACAGATGCCTTACCCACAATCCATCAGCACACAGCAAAAGGCAAGAGCCAGCATGGTGACGCATGCCTGAAATCCCAGCATTTGGGAGGCTGAGGCAGAAGAATCCTGAATTAAGTCCAGTCTGGACTACATAGTGAAAACCTATCTCAAAAAAAGAAAAAAAAAGGCAAAAACAAAGAAGATATTTCCCCCAAAATGTTCCAGAAATGTAGTCATGAGCTTACCTTTTCAGCATGTAGGACCTGAATTCTGAGAGGAGCTTATTCTAGAAAATTTGGAAGCTGGGAACAAAGCATGGAGGGACAGCACTGTCTGAGAGCAACTTCCCCAAAACCTAAAGGCCTCTTCCTTTAAAAACAAAACAAAACAAAAAGACCCAAGCTCTGGGCACTCGTGGCTCAAGCCTGTACTCCTAGCTACTCAGGAGGCTAAGAACTGAGGAGTGCAGTTTGAAGCCAGCTCAGGCAGGAAAGTCCAGGAGACTCTTATCACCAATTAATCGCAGAAAAAGCCAGAAGTGGCCCTGTGGCTCAAGTGGTAGAGCGCCAGCCTTGAGCTAAAAAGGAGTTCAGGGACAGTGCCCAAGCCCAGAGACTGAGCCCAGGACCAGCAAAGAAAAAAACAAAAAAGACCCAAGTACAAGGTAAAACCAGACTTCTGAGTTAGCATTAGGCTAATTATGCATTCCCACACACTAAGGAAAGTACATTATTTTTCCTGAAGGTTTGAGTTTTTTTAAATAATGTTTTGTAAACCAAGCCCAGTGGCACATGTCAATAATTCCACGTAGTTGAGAGGCAAGACCCTGGTTTGAGGCTGGCCCTGGGGGGGAGGGGAGAGGAGAAGTTAGCAAACCCCCGTCTCAACCAGTAAGCCAGGCAGAGGCTGAGTTATATGGCTCAAGTGGCAGAGCAGAACATAATCACAAAACCACCCTCAGTTCAAACCCCGGGGCTACCACAAACAGGTAAAAAAAAATTTTTTTTTTTTTCTGAGCAGGAATGGGCCCTATCTTCAAAAATCACTACTTCACAGGACATGAGATTGGCCCAGTGCTTCCTATTGGTGCTCAGGCTCCTGAAGGGACCAGCCTCCACCCCCAGTGGGGGATGGGGAGGTGAACAGGAGGTGTTTTCAGAAGTGGGGGTAAACTCTAATGTGCTCTCTTTCCCCTCACCTTCCATAGAGGCTTCGGACAGAGAACAGACTCCTGAAACAGCGGATTGAGACCCTGGAGAAGGTGAGAGGCGTTGTGGCCAGCAGGGGGCGCTGCATCTCCAGGCCTCACACAGGACTCAGCTGCCATTGTGGCTGAGGCCAAGATCCCATCCTGAGCCAGCTGGGTAGAGTAGCCTGGCTGAACCCCACCCACTCTGAGTCCCCATTGAGACTTGGGCTGCTTGTCCCTGGGGGGTCTGGGGAGACTCTCCTCCACTTTTATCTCCTCAGTGGATATGGTGATCCCAGGGTGGTGGAAGGGAGCCACTGTGGAAAGGAAGGAAGATGGAGGAGGAGGGACAGCCTTGCCATTTGATGTTAGAATGCAACATGTTAAAGATGGTGGTGGGCTTTGATGGTTTACTATGACCCCAGGCCCAGGATCTCCACTTATTGTCACTTGTTCTCTTTTTTTTTTTCTTGGTCCAAGACCAGGACTTGAACTCAGTACCTGACACTTTCACTTACTGGCTAATGACGCTCTACCAACTGAGCCATGCCTCCAACCCCAAACTCGTTCTCATGGGCAAGACTTTAGTGCCCTTGTCTCAAAGTCCTGTTCTTTTTTTTTTTTTTTTTTTTGGTGCCAGTATTAGAGCTTGGACTCCAGGCATCCAACTCTTACTGGCACTCTACCATTTGAGCCACACTTCTGCTCCAGCTCTTTGCTGGTTTGTTGGAGATAAGAGTTTCAATGATTTATCTGCCCTGGTGAGTTTTGAGCTGTGATCCTCAGATCTCAGCCTCTTGAGTAACTAGGATTATAAGTAGGAGCCACTGGCACTCGGCTCAAAGCCTCCATTTTTTTTTTTGGGGGGGGGTTGTGGGGCTTGAACTCTGGGCTTGGGCGCTATCCCTGTGCTCTTTAGCTCAAGGTCAATGCTCTACCGCTTGAGCCTCAGTGCCACTTCTGGTTTTCTGGTGGTTTATTGGAGATAAGAGTCTCACAGACTTTCCTGCCCAGGCTGGCTTTGAACCATGATCAGATCTCAGCCTCCTGAGTAGCTAGGATTACAGGTGTGAGCCACTGGCACCCGGCTAAAGCCTCCATTTTTATTCTCCCTCCAAAAGTAAAACAAATTCCTGCCAGGCATAGTGGTGCACACCTGCAATTCCAGCTACTTGATAGAGAGGAAGATGAAGAGGATCAAGGTTCAAGGCCAGCCCCACCCCCATCTCAGTAAAAGCTGAGAGGGGTAGCACCACCAAGCCATCTCAGCTACATAGAAAGCATTATTAGGGGACTCCCAGTCTTAGTATAAATGAAAAACATGGGAAGCAAAAAAAGGGCTGGGAAGTGGCCCAAATGGTAGACTGCCTGCCTTAGCAAGCCACAAGGCCCTGAGTTCAAATGCCACGCAAAAAAAAAAAAAAAGTTCCCAATCTTCTCTGATCACAATGAAGAGACATTTTCTGGTGCTGAGTTCTCCCAGCTGGTCCCATCTCTGTCAACATGGCCACCACACACACACACACACACACACACACACACAAACCCCTCTCCAGGATGGAGCTGGCTCTGGCTTTGATCTTCCTCCGGGTTCTCTCTGCTGGTTTTCTGGTCTTCACTGCTGTCTCCCCTGCTTCTAGAGATAGTCCACCGCGTTAGTGACAAGTGGTTCTTGTCTGTCTCTCCCCTCTCCTGTCCCTGCGCCTTCCGCTCTGCCTCCTCCCCTTGTTGCTCGGGACCCCCCTTCGCCCACCCGCCGGGTAGGAGAGTGCTGCTCTGGCTGATAGGCTAATCCAGGTACTGTAGCTTTTTTCTCCCTCTCCAGTCTCCTTCCTTGATTCCTGCACATGACAGCCAGTAACTGCCTCTTCCCTGGCTGCTGCCATTCTGGGGGTGAGAGGGAAGGCCTGGCATCATGCATGGGGGGCAACAGGGGGCCCACATCCTGGGAGACAGGGGCTTCCATAGGGGGCGGAGGCATGTGAGGTGGAGAGGATGGGGGAGCATGTGTGTGAGAGTGTTCAAGCATGAATTTACACACACAGGGACAGTGTACCCATTTCGGGGCCTCGTGTGTGCACTAATGCTAAAGCTTGCACACACACGTCTTGGCACCCACGTTCACGCACAGAACTCTCCTGGCCACTCTCACGCTGCTCCTCTGCAACTCCCTGCCATGCCTGCCAACCTTCCCCTCACTCACCTGCTCCTGCTGCCGCTTCATCTCGAATGGCTTTATCTGGAAGCTTCTGCACACCACCAGATGGGCTCAGAGCCTGGAATGGGGGTGGGGGGGTGGGGAGGGAGGGGGCGGGGAGGGAGGGGGGCAAAGATGATAGAATGGGGGAGGGGAAGTGAAGGCCCCCGAGGGAGACCAGTACCCCAGTGACAATGGCAACTCCTAGCAGCAGAGTCCTGAGGCCTTGATTGCCCCCAGCACCCGCCCTTGGCAGGCCCAGCCTGTGCTGCCCCTGGGCCCTCTGAGGAAGATCTGTTTCTTAGGATCCGGAGCAGCAAGCTAAGAGCCAGAACTGGGGAGCGGAAGGAGCTGTCCACAGCCTGGCCTGGGACCCCTCCACCACTCCCCAGCTAAGCCTGGCAGAGCCTCACGAGGCCCAGGCCTCCCAGGCTCCTCCAGCTGTCCTGTGCCTGCCTGTCTCCAGGCCCCCGTGGTGAGGCACCCCATCCCAGGCTCTGAGTTCGGGAGGCTGTGCCCCCTTCTCATCTCCCCCTCCTCCACTCTCTTTGGGCCCTCCCCCTCCCCCCGCCGTGGCCCAAGGCAGGGCCTGGGATGGAAGCCGAGGGTCACGGTCTCCCCTCCCCTCCTCCCTGTGCTCAGGGGCAGGTGACACGGGCGCAGGAGGCGGAGGAGAACTACGTCATCAAGCGAGAGCTGGCGGTGGTGCGGCAGCAATGCAGCTCGGCCGCGGAGGACCTGCAGAAGGCGCAGAGCACCATTCGGCAGCTGCAGGAGCAGCAGGTACCGGTGGGCGGGGCCCTTGAGGCCACGCCCCCGTCACGCCCCGTCCACTTTTTTTTTAATTTTCCGGTTCGGATACCTTCATCTGGGCTCTTTCCTCCCTGGAACTGGAGGAGGGACTTAGGCAGACTATTTCCCTGGACCTATGAGAACCAGGCTGTCCCAGCCAGATAGCCCCCAAGCTCTGCAAACCTTTGGGGAACGCCCCCCCCTCAGAGAAATGTCCTGTCTCCTCACCCAGGGCACCTAGAGACAGATGAGGTTCCCATCTCAAAGGCCGAGCCTCCTCTATCCGACCTAGGTTCTGCCAAGCTTCCCAAAGCAAACTCTCCCCATTGTTTTCTGCTTTGAAATGCGGGAGGGGCAGGAGCCACGCCCCTAGCCACGCCCCCTATGTGGTCAGGCCATTTCCACACCCAATGATCCTGGAAAACCACCCAGTCATTGGCGCCCCGCGGAGGGCATCCTGCGGACATGGAAAGTCCCTTTAGGGACTTTCCTTCATTTGAGTTTCCCTGGAAAGTGGCTCTGCCAGTTCTGCTGTCCTCGGGCCAGAATGCCTAAGCACCGAGCATTGGGGTCCCGCCCAGGATGCCCCATGTCTGAGCTCCTCTCCCAGCTCAGAGGCTCCAGGGAGGAATGGCAAGGCCTGCTCCCATCCTAGACTGGATGGAGGCTGCCTTCCCCCAACCCCCTGCAGGGAACCAACACAGCCCTCTGCACCCCAGGAGAACCCCCGTCTCACTGAGGACTTTGTGGCTCACTTGGAGACGGAGCTGGAGCAATCGAGGCTGCGGGAGACAGAGACACTGGGGGCCCTTCGGGAGATGCAGGACAAAGTTCTGGACATGGAGAAGGTGCGGCGGGATAGGAGGGTAGATGGGCAGGTGTTAGGGGGCTCCTGGGGAGAAGGTGGTCCTGAGGAATCTTTAGAAGGGGAGGAAGGGTAGCTAGGGCAATTTCCCCACCCTAGTCTGTTTCTGCAGAGGAGACCACCTCTGCCTGCTCTTTTGGAAGCCAGAATGCATCCCTGACCCCAATCATTGCTGTCTGTCTACACCCAAGTGGAGATGGGAAGTTGGACCCCTCACTCCTAGACCTTCCCAAGCCTGGAGCTGCATGAACACACACACACACACCCCTGCATATAATATAGCATAACCTCATAGAGGGTACACATACCTACCTTTATTTCTTATAGTCAGAGACTGACAACAGCATTGTGGCAGCTTAGTGAGCAGCCTGGATACCTTATCACACCGTGATGCTCTCCCCCAGGCCTTGAGTTCCAGGATGGAGGGAAGAAGTGGGAAGGGAAGGCCCAGACCCATATGAGGGTCTCTGTCCCACTCCCATAGAGACACCCTCCAGGAGCTGAAGCCCACTTTTTCCTGCCTACCCCAGGACACCTTACAGTACAGGAGATGTGCCCACCCCAAGCAGCCTGCCCCGTTTATGAAATAGCCCCCACATCTGTATGAGGATCTCCAGGCCTCTCAGCCCCCATCAACAGCTGGATTTCCCCAATCCCTTCAACCCTGCTGCCCTGCCCTGCCCAGAACCAAACCAGGGTCAGTGAGAACCCGACCTAGACACCAGGGCACCTTGGATGCAGGCGACAGGGCATACATAAGCTGGTCCTCAGCCTGTTTGTTCCCAGGTAGAGGGGCTGCCTGGCCTGGCCTTGGGGGGAGGGAAGGGGCACAGAGGCTGTACCCATTCTCAGCCCTTGCTGGGGCAGATCCCAGGTTGGTCATGGACCCTGAGGGGTATGGATCTCTCCCCGGGACTGGGGGGGGAGGGGAGGTGCCCTTGTCCCTGATGCCTGGCTAGTGTTATCAGCAGTAACATTTTATGGAGACCCCCACAATTTAAAAGTGTTATATCTTAAGGCAACACTAAGTGAGTAGTGGTACTATATATACCCCATTTTACACCCTAACTGGGGTGGCGATATAGGAAAGTCCTTTCCCTGGGCCTCGTCCCCTGTTCTTGAGTTGCCCAAGGCAGGGCTTCTGGAGAAAGGAAGCTGGGAAGATCAGGCCAGTCTGCCTGCCAGCGGGGACGTGTAACTGCGTGGCTGCCCAGGGTCCTGACCTCGTCTTTCCCCACAGAGGAACAGCTCGCTGCCCGACGAGAACAACGTGGCGCGGCTACAGGAGGAACTCAAGGCGCTCAAGGTGCGGGAAGGCGAGGCCGTAGCCTCAGCGCGAGAGCTGAAGCAGCAGCTGCAGGAGCTCTCAGACACCTGGCAGGTGAGGGCCAGGTGGGCATAGCGGACAGAACGCCCGGGGCATAGGGACCCCGAGACCGATCGCCGGCCTCCCGCCCTCTCCTTCCAGGCCCATCTGTCCCGCGGCGGCCGCTGGAAGGAGTCCCCGCGGAAGCTGGTCCTGGGCGAGCTGCAGGACGAGCTGATGAGCGTGCGTCTGCGCGAGGCGCAGGCCCTGGCCGAGGGCCGCGAGCTTCGGCAGCGCGTGGTGGAACTCGAGACGCAGGTGGGCTGCGCCTGCGTGAGGGCGGGGCCAGGAGGCAGCCCCCGGCCGGGCCAGCGATCCCCACTGTGCGTCCTTCTGACCTCCTTTCCAGGACAACATCCACCGCAACCTGCTGAACCGCGTGGAGGCGGAGCGCGCGGCGCTGCAGGAGAAGCTGCAGTACCTGGCGGCGCAGAACAAGGGGCTGCAGACGCAGCTCAGCGAAAGCCGCCGCAAGCAGGCGGAGGCCGAGTGCAAGGTGCCACCCCTGCCCGAGCCCCCCGCCCCGCGAGACCCCCGCCCCAGACTCCGGCCCTCCCTTGACCCGCCTTCTGTCCCGCACCCCCAGAGCAAGGAGGAGGTGATGGCTGTACGGCTCCGAGAGGCGGACAGCATGGCCGCGGTGGCCGAGATGCGGCAGCGCATCGCGGAGCTGGAGATACAGGTGAGGGCGGGGTCGTTATAGGGGCGGAGCCAGGGCGGGTGGGGGCGGGGCCATGGCGAGAGTCAGGACTGGACGGGGCGTGGTAGGACGGGGCGTGGTAGGGCGGGGCCATGGAAGGCGGGGCCATGGCGAGAGGCAGTCTAAGGGAGGGATCGTGGGAGCGGGGCAGATCCAGGGAAGGCGGGGTCGGAGTGGGCGGGGTTATGGCGACGGGCGGGCCGGAGGCAGGTCTAGGGAGGGCGTGAGGCTTGGTCTGTGGGGTGGGGCCAAAGGAGGCCGGGCCTGGTGGGCGGGGTTATAGCGAGGGGCGGGGCGGGGCCGGCCCGGCTCTGACCGCGGGTGCGCCTGGCCGCCCCCTAGCGGGAGGAAGGCCGTATCCAGGGCCAGCTGAACCACTCGGATTCGTCGCAGTACATCCGCGAGCTGAAGGACCAGATCGAAGAGCTGAAGGCGGAGGTGAGCGCCGGGCGTCCTGGGCCGGCGCGGGGGATAGGGGTCACAGGCCCGACGTGGGTGCAGTAAGGAGGCCGGGGCCAGAAGGGCGAGGGAAGTGGGTGCTCGGCACGACGCCTGCGTGGGCCCGTCGGCCCCACCTCCAGCCCCAGGTCCCCCCCGCCCCAGGTGCGGCTGCTGAAGGGCCCGCCGCCCTTCGAGGACCCGCTGGCTTTCGACGGGCTGAGCCTGGCGCGGCACCTGGACGAGGACTCGCTGCCGTCGTCGGACGAAGAGCTGCTGGGCGTGGGCGTGGGCGCGGCGCTGCAGGACGCGCTCTACCCGCTGTCCCCGCGCGACGCGCGCTTCTTCCGCCGTCTGGAGCGGCCGGCCAAGGACAGCGAGGGCAGCTCGGACAGCGACGCCGATGAGCTGGCCGCGCCCTACAGCCAGGGCCTGGACAACTGAGGCAGGGGCGCGTGCGCTGGGAGCCCCGAGGCCGCCGCCACCGTGGATCGCCTGGGCAGTGTCACCTGCCGAACTCCACGCCGCTGTGGCCCCTCCTAGAGGGCCGAACCTGCCAAGCAGCGCAGAGGGCAGGGCCTCCGGTCGGGCCCTCCCTCCCCAGCAGTGTTTACCCATTTTGGTCCGTACCCCTCCCGGCCCTCCTTCGAACGTTCAAGGGGTACCTGGGCCAGTTACCTGGGGGCAGGAGGCAGAGATTCCTGCCCAGGTGAGCAGGAAGCTTCCTCCTCCCCAGCAGGTTTCCCTCTGGGACAAGGACGGCCCTGCAGGGAAGGGCCCAGGAGCTAGAGGCCTGAGGAAGGAGGGACATCCCTGAGTTGGACATTAGCACCCACACAACGCCCTCGGGACACAGTGACCTTTCACCTTGGCTGCAGGGGACAGAAGGCCAGCCTGGGCTTCCCTGCCTGGTGCAGGCATCATGGCCCCTGCGGCAGAAACCAAAGTCCCCCATCCTGTGGGCAGGGCCACCCGGGGTTGTGAGTGGACAGTGGGTACCAGCTTGGGCCTGGGCAGTGTCTCCCTGCTTTGGGGAGGAGGGCAGGCAGAGAAGCTGTGAAGAAGATACCCCTCTCCCCAGAGGCCCTCATCTCCCTCTGGGATATCCATCACTGTCTTGGTCAAGGATGGAAGGCTGCCCCCTCCTTGGGGATCCTTAGCCTCCATCCACTTCCCTTCTTTTCCTTTCTGTCCCCAGCCCTGCTCTCAGACCAGGGTCAGGCCCCAGGAATGGAACTTTCCAGCAGAGTTGCCTCCTCTGGCCCCCTTGTAGTGGTCCCGTGACCTCTGCCAAGTCATAGCTGAGAACGGTGCCAAAGTCCAACGACACCCCTCCCCCCTCAGACCTTTACTTCCCCTCCCCCCCTGGGGGGCCTCAGCGGCCCTGGGGGGAGGGGTGCTGGCCCTCTCGGTGCTCCTGGAGCCTCCACTAGCAGTAGCGTCACAAGCAATCTCCCTGGCGCTTCCTGGGGTGGGGACCCCTCCTCCGTCCCTCTTCCCGGTCACTCACTCTTCAGTGTTACAAAGCCTGGGGACCAGGCCGGGCACCTGAGGGGGCCCCCATGTGCCCCCAACACTGCCCACTACCATTTTTGCACACTGCCTGTTCACACTCCACATGTTGCCCAGGCGGGAAAGATGGAAAATAAAGTGTATTTACAGTCATGGATGAGGGGCACTAATTGGGCAGGCTTGGGGATTGTCAGGGAGAGGCTTTAGAGTATCACAAACAGATGGGGAGCTTCCCAGAGTCTGGTGGAATGCCAGGCAGTGGAGGAGAAAGGATATTTCCCAGTAGAGGTGAACTAGGTCATGTGAATAGAGGCGTGCGCAGGGTATGATTGCCCCCGGACCCCCCCCCCAGACTACCTGCAGGACTGTCACCTTCATAAGACCAGCGCCCACTCCTAAAGGCCTGTTGGGGTGTTCTGCCTCATGCCTTATTCCAAGCAGTCCCCAGAATACAGTGGAGAGAAGCATTAGGGTTGGGGAAGGGGAGATGAGCTGCCACTACGCAAATAGGCAACTGTGGAGAAAAATCAAAGGCTTCCTGGAAGAGATGGTGTGAGGCTTCTATAAAGGCAAAAGCAAAAAGGGCAGATATGTCACAAGTTCCTGCAGGAAATGACTGGATGCCCAAGAAGGAGAAGCAGACACTGATGTGTCTACTCCAGATCAAGAGTTCCTAGTGGGGCGCTGGTGGCTCACGCCTATAATCCTAGCTACTCAGACGGCTGAGGTAGGGGAATGGCGGTTCAAAGCCAGCTTGGGCAGGAAAGTCCATGAGACTCTTTTTTTTTTTTAATCGGTCATGGGGGCTGAACTCTGGGCCTGGGTGCTGTCCCTCAGCTCTTCAGCTCAAGGCTAGCACTCTACCACTTGAGCCACAGTGCCACTTCTGGCTTTTTTCTTTTTGCTTATGTAGTGCTGAGGAATTGAACCCAGGGCCTCAGGCATGCAAGGCAAGTGCTCTACCACTGAGCCACCTTCCCAGCCCCCATGAGACTCTTATCTCCAACTAACCACCAGAAAACCAGAGGTGGCACTGTGGCTCAAGTGGTAGAGCACTCACCTTGAGCTGAAGAGCTCAGGGACAGTGCCCAGACCCAGAGTACAAGGCCCATGACAAAAAAAAAAAAAAAAAATCAAGATTCCCTGCTTTGTGCTGGGTGTGGTGATGCACTCCTGTAATCCCAGCACTCGGGAGACTAAAATAGGAGGTTCTTGAGCCAGCCTGGGCTACATAGTAAAATGTGTAAAATGTCCAAAACAAGCAAACAAAAAGCAATGGTGGATTTAGAGGAGAACACCATCAAATAGACCGTAACTGGGAGTCAGTGAGGAGGCAATCAGCAAAGTAAACTGAGTCAGGCCCTGGGAACAGTTGAGTGAAGGCTCCCATGGAAGAAGAGTTCCCAAAGAGGCAGAGTCCTTTGTAGGGTTCCCCCATGGAGCTGAAGCTGAATCTAGAGTGGAGAACAGAGCCGGGGATGGCACAAGAAGGCTGCTTTGAGGCAGAAACTTGATTGGCTCCAAGTAGATTGTAAGCTGTCCCTGCCTTCTATACCAATGTGTCCGCTGGTGAGCAGCCAGGTCCCACTTAGTGACTCACCAACTTGATGGCTCCTGGGACCACACACTGCCCCCCCAATACCCAGATAAGCCAACATTGTGCCTCTCCTGTTCCCATTCCAGCTGGCTCACTACACTGAGTTTCTGTCCTACCTCTTTGTGGGGGCTGCCTAGCATGTCAGGTGCCAGCCCCGTTCCTTGGGCTTAGAGTCTGAGAACATGGAAGCTTTGTCTTCATTTGAGCCCATCTGGAGAGGAAATTTCTGTGATTTGCCACAAATCCTCATTTGAGTGAGGAAGTATGCTGTCCTTCTCCTCTAACTCCCATCTGGCTTCCCACAATTGATGTCCCTTTGATACAGAACCCCACTTTTCTTTGGACCTCAGAGGGGTGTGACTGTGTTTCAGGGTGGAGATGCACACAACTGGGGGTGGAGGGAGGCTCTGTGCTAACAAGAATCCTCACCAGCTCCTGGTGAGGATAAGACTTGGGTTCAAGGCCATGGTTCAAGGCCAGCCCAGGGAGAAAAGTCCATGAGATTCCACTTTGAAAATAAGGCAATGTTGGGGCTGGGAAGGTGGCTCAGTGGTAGAGAGCTTACCTGGCATGCATGAGGCCCTGGGTTCGATTCCTTATCACCACATAAGCAGTAGTGCAGCTCTGGCTCAAGTGGTAGAGCGCTAGCCTTGAGCTGAAGAGCTGAGGGACAGTGCCCAGGCCCAGAGTTCAGGCTTCATGACTGGCAAAACAAAAAAGCAATGTTGGAAGCTTGATTCAAGTGGTAGAGTACCAGCTGAACAAGTACCACATCCTAAATTCAAGCCTTAGCATTAATAGTAGTAGTAATAATAATTTAAAAAAAAACTGGTAAGGCCAGGCCCTGGTGGCTCATGCCTGTAATCTAGCTGAGATCTGAGGATCAGGGTGTGAAACCAGCCTAGGCAAACAAATTCAAGACACTCATCTCCAATTAACCACACTCACACATACACACACACGCACACATACACACACACACACACACACACACACACACACACTGGAAGTGGAGCTGTGGTAGAATGCTAACCTTGATCCAAAAAAGCATAAGGGAAAATACCCAGAGCTGGCAAAAATTAAACAAACAAACAAATAAATAAGGAAATGGTTCCAAAGGCAGAAACAGAACTGAAAAGCCCACACTAGTCCCTTTTCTGTCCTTTCCCCCATCTGGAGATGCCTCTCTCATTCCTGATGTTAGGAATTCTTAAGTTTCTTTGGAAAAGAAAGATCTAGGGAAACACCTCCTTCATAGGGCCTGAGTAGAATAATAAGGTCTGAGCTAGGACTTGAGGGACTCCAGGGTTAAGGTGGCTTGGCTGGCGGCAGGGTAAGGAGGATGTCAGGGATGTCAGGGCAGTAGGGGGTAGGACAGTGCCTATGGAGGCGGGATGCATCAAGGATAGGGTGTCCTGGAACTGGGAGAGGCCACTTCTTCCCTGCAGGCTCCAAGCAGGTCAAGCCACCCTACCCCCACACCTGTGGAGGGCACTTCTACAGAGCCCCTGGGGACAGGCTGCTGGCTTGTCCTGGGAACAAAGGAAACAGCGAAACCAGATGATGCTGGGGACCCCTCCGTGGATCTACCAGGAGGTCACCTTAGGAAAGGGGGTGCACGCAGGGGGCGGAGTCTGTGAAAAGGGATCCACCCTCCATACCAGTCAGGCCAAACCATTCCACTAGCTCTTGAGTGTGGGAAGAGCTTCCAGAGCTCCCCACCTCGACCACACAGACCCCTCCCGAGTCTAAAGTTTGCATCAGAAGTGGTACCTGGCCAGGTGTCAGTGACTCACGCCTGTAATCTAGCTATCCAGAAGACTGAGATCTTAGGATTTTGCAGTTCGAAGCCAGCCCAGGCAGGAAAGTCCATGAGACTCCTATCTCCAATTAACCACAACAAGCTGGAAGTTGAGCTGTGGCTAAAATAGAGTGCTGTCCTAGAAGTACAGCGTCCAGGCCCAGAGATCAACCCCTAAAACTAGGGGGGGGGGGAGAAAGTAGAATCCGAAGAAGTACATGATTTTGCACTCAACCAGAAAGTTGAGAACTGGTAGGTCCTGGACCCAGACCCGCCTCACCTGCCCCTTTCTTTTTCATAGGAGAAACGCTACAAGGTTTCGCCAGTCCTCCAACCCTTGGTCGCCCCCCAGGTCCCGACCCCCAGGGCGACAGCGAGGATGCGCAGGCTCCAGTGTCCCGGTTTTATTGCAAACGGGGCAGCGCTGGGTTTACAATGTACTGAACTTGGGATTCCGGCGGGAGCAGGGAATGATTCCAGCGGGAGCAGAGGTGTGGTCCTGGCTAAGGGGCGGGGCTTGACTGGAGGGTCCGGAGGATCAGCTAAAGGCAGGAGTGAAACTTGGGTCCAAAGACTAGGTAGGGCTCTAGGGAATCAAAAATCAACCCAAGGAAAGGGAGGCGGGGGACCCTAAAAGTGAGAAAGGGGACCTAAGACAAAAGCGTAACGGAGGGGAGAATCCTAAAACAGGGGTGGGCATGGAGGGTGGGCGGGCCTGGCGTCTGGCTCAATGGAAAGTCTCCACCTCCACCACAGTCCAGTCACCCTGTGGAGAGGCCACATCGTCTGGGGAGAAACTGGTGACCGATGTGATGCTGGCACGCGACTCATCCAAGGGAGACAGCAGTTCGGCCCAGCGGCCTAGTTCGGCGTCGCTGAGCGGAGTACGGGTGGCCCCGGAGACGCCACCACCCCCCGTACCCACTGGACCCCCGCCGCTGGCTCCCGCCGCACCCTCGGCCGCGGCGAGTAGCAGCGTCCGGCTCAACAGGTGCTGCACGACGCTAGCCTGCAGCGCTCCCAGCGGCAGCTCGCCGAGGCGCGCCGACTTCGGGCTCCGCGAGGACGCCCCGAGCCCCGCCCCACTCGCCGCTTTCCCATCCCCCGCGCAGGACCCAGGTCCCGGATCCAGCGAGCCTGGGGTCGGGGTCGCCGGCTCGGGTCCTTCAGCCTCGTAGATGGTGCACAATCCGTCTGCTGAGCCCGGGCCGGCGGCAGGAGGCCAAGGCAGAGGAACACCTGCAAATACAGACGCTGAGCGGAAGGGGTGGGAAGCGCCACCTCTCCGCGAGACCACGCCCTTTGCACTTGCTTTGCCCCGCGGCGACCACGCCCCCTTCACGGGCCCCAACCAAGCCGCGAGACACGGCCCTTTCCATTGGCCGCACCTCACCACGAAACCCTGCCCTTACCATCCGCCACGCCCTCCTCGAGACCCCGCCCTTTGCACCTGCCCCAACCCCGAGACCACGCCCTCTTTACCAGCCCCACCCTCCCCGCGCGACCCCGCCCTTCCTGTAAGCTCCGCCCTGCCGCGAGACTCCTCCCTTTCCGTCTGTCACACCCCACCGCGAAGCCCCGCCCCCATGCATCGCTGCCGGGTCCCCAGACCCGCCCGGAGTCCCCTCTCACCTGGAGCGCCGCAGACAGCCAGCGGCGGAGCAGGCCCTCGGCTCCAGGCCGCCGGATGGCAGGCGGCGAGCTCCGCGTCGGCGGGCGGGGAGGTTGCAGCGCCGCCCTCGGGCCCGCTATCGTAGCCACGCAGCTCCTCTGGAGTGCTGGTGGCGCTGCTGCTGTGGCCGGCCAAGTCCGGGCCGCTCAGCGTACTGGATGGGCTGCGAGAAGGTGGTGGTGGCGGGGCCGGGGCCAGCGCTAGGGTCAGCCGTGGACCCGAGATGGAGGCATCTGGACCTGGGGTCGGGGGTCGGCATGGGGCCTGCAGTGGGGGCGACGCAGGGGGAGAGGAAGGAGGCTGAACAAGGGGCGAGCCCAGGCGAGGCAGGACCTGCGGAGGGGGCGTCGTCGCTGAAGAGGGCGGGGCCTGTGGAGGGGGCGAAGCCAGAAGCCTGGCCTCCTCTGGGGTCACTGTTGTCTTCTGAGGAGAAGCCTGCAGAGAGGGCAAGGCCAGAATAGGTGGAGCTTCTTGAGGGGGCATGACCAGGGGAGAGAGAAGCCGTGAGATCAAAGATGAGGCCTCTGGAGGTGGTGTGGCCACAGGAGAGTGAGAGATCAAAGATGGGACCTCTGGAGGGGACGAGGCCAGGGGAGAATGAGGAAGTGAAGCCAAAGATGGGGCTTCTGGAGGGAGTATGGTCAGGGGAGAGTGAGGGAGTGAGACCAGAGAAGGTAGGGCCTCTGGATGGGGCGTGGCCAGAGGAGAGAGAGGGGGTGAGGCCAAAGAAGGCGGGGCCTCTGGAGGGGGCGTGGTCAGAGGAGAGTGAGGGGGTGAGGCCAAAGAAAGTGGAGCCTGCGGAGGGGACGTAGCCAACGGGGTCCGAATAGGCGAGGCTAAGAGAGAAAGAGGTACCTGCAGAGGAGGTGAGGCAGGAGGAGAGAGAAAAGCCTGAAGAGGAGGTGAGGCAGGTGGAGAAGGAAGGGCCTTAGGATATGTAGCTGAGAGAGAAGGGATTTGTAAAGGAGGCGAAGTCAGAGAAGGCTGGGCTTGCAAAGGTGTAGGCAAGAAAGAAGGCGTGGTCTGCAGTGGGGGTAAGCCCAAAGGAGGTGGGGCCTGCAGAGGCAGTGAGGCCAGTAAGGGTGGCAGAGTCGGGAGACAGGTATCAGCCTGTAAAGGAGGCAAGGTCAGAGAAGATGGGGCCCCCGGAGTAGGCGTGACCAGGGCAGAGGGAGGAGCCTGAAGAGGGGGCGAGGCTGGAGGAGAGGAAGAAACTAGTGGATCCTGCAGCGTGGAGTTGGCCAAAAGAGGAGGGTCTTGGGAAGGAGATGTAATCAGGTTAGAGGGTGTGGCCTGTGGGGGCGGAGCCTGGGAAGGACTGGCCTGTGATGGGGACGTGATCACAGAGAAAAGGGCTGGTGGGGTGGGCGTGACAAGGGGAGAAGACAGATTCTTTGGAGAGACTGGCGGAGAGAGAGAGGCGGCGTCTAGAGGTAAAGAAGCAGACTGAGATGTGGATAAGGAAGTCGGAAGTGATGGCAAACCCAGAGGAGCCTGGGTGGGAAGCATATTCTGTACAGGAGATGAACCTGATGGAGAAAATGCCGTCGTCGTCGTGGGCCGGGGAGAGACTCTTTCTACCTCCGGAAAGGGTGGAGCTTGCGAAGGGGGCGTGGCCGGTGGAGAGGGGAGGGTCTCCAGGCAGAGCGGAGTGGAAGGGGCTACTGGAAATGTGGTGGCCAATGGACAGGCTTGGTTCTGTGAGTGGGGCGTGGCCTGAGGGGAGGGCGGGTCTTGAGGATGCAGGGTTGCAGGCGGAGGGGGCGTGGTTGGCGGAGAGGGAGGGAGGGTAGTCTGGGGAGGAGCCCTTGAGCGGCGGGGAGGTGGTGTCTGCTGGGCGGCCGCGCTAGGTGGAGAGGGCTTGGCCAAAGACAAAGCTGAAAGCTGGCCTGGCACCGAAACTGCGTTCTTCCTGGGGACTGTGGTCTGCGGGGGGCGCAGAGCCGACTGCCCTTTGGCCTTGGGCTGTGACATCAGCGCAGGAGCCCGGGATGGTCCACGGGATGAGGCCCCAGACCGGGCGGGGGATGACAGAGGGGTAGCACCGGAGCCCGAGGGACGAGAGGCTGGCTTTTGGAGGCCACCACCAGCGCTGGGCCGCCTCCTGGCAGCTGGACTAGGCTCTGGGGCATTTTGGTCTCCAGTAGTCACTGATTTCTTGGGCGTCTCGGTCAAGGGTCGTGGCCGGGCATTCGCAGCTGGTCGAGGGAGTCCCGCTTCTGCCACCGCTGTCCGGGAGCGACGGCCCATGGCCGGTGAGGGGGCCCCTGAAGTGGGCCCTGAAGAGTCTGGAGACAAAGCAGAGGTCCAAAAGGGACACGGATACCTCCAGACTGGACCCACCGGGGCCTAGGAAACCCCTCACCCCAAAGTTACCTACCTTTTCGTGTCCCGGAGTTCAGAGCAGCCCTTTTGGGTGTCTCTGGGGCTTTTCCTCTGGCCACAGGTTCCTCAGCTGAGGGACGGGGTCCTTTCTGACCAACAGGGCCTGGTCTGGGGACAGGAGGAACCAGATCTTTTTTTTTCCTTGTCGGTCATGGGGCTTGAACTCTGGGCCTGGGCGCTGTCCCTCAGCTCTTCAGCTCAAGGCTAGCGCTCTACCACTTGAGTCACAGCACCACTTCCGGTTTTCTGGTGGTTTATTGGAGATAAGAGTTTCACAGACTTTCCTGCCCGGTCTGGCTTTGAACCAGGATCCTCAGCTCTCAGCCTCCTGAGTAGCTAGGATTACAGGTGTGAGCCACTGGCGCCTAGCGGGACAAGATCTTTTTGAACTCCCCAAATGTACACCTTCCCAGCTATGAAATGGGACATATACCCTTCTCTGCAAACCAATGACTTTCAATTTGACACAGGATCCACAAGTGCTGCCCAGCCCTTGTGCGAAATATTAAAAGGTTTCAGATAGTGGTACTAAAAGGGAGGGTTGGAGGTGTGGCTGAAGTGGTAGCCATGAACAACAACCCAAGCGAATCCTAGCAACAGCAAAAATATAATAAGAAAATTAAAAAAGAGAGAAAAAAAACAGATAGTGACACTAACGCTTGCTTTAGAGACTGAGAAGGGGCGTGTTACCTGGTGGTCCCGCTAGCTCGTCCTGGGGTAGAGACAGAAGAACCCTGGCTGGGCGTCTTGGCAGGGGTCCTCTCTCCTCTCCCAGCAGCTGAGGGTCTGGAAGCTTCAGAGAAAAGAGTCAATGTTGTCCGAGGAAAAAAAGGGTTCGGAAAAGGAAGGAAGGAGGTAGGGGAAGAACATGGGGTCAGAAGAGACGCCAGGTACCTGGACTTCGAGGACCTGCCACAGTGCTTCGAGTCGGTCCCACGCGGGCAGCAGCCTCCGGAACAGGGGCTCCACCGACGCCTCCAGATCGCTCTGCCAGGGGCTTTCGCCCCATGACTCCCGCTGCTCCCAGAACCCGAAGGGCTGCGGCGGTTACTGGGGGAGGGGGCCGAGGGGACCCCGGAGGCCTAGGGGTGGGAAGGCCAGGGGGACGAGAAGCTGGTGTCCTCGAGGCGGGCCCTACCTTGGCCTTATCCCTCTTGTCCATTCCGCACCTGATGGGCAGACAGAGGAATCAGCACCCCAGGTTCTGGATCGTTACACCGCTGCTGCTGGAGATCTTGGCTCCTGGTACTGTACTGGTCCTTTTCCAGGCATCCGGCCACTCATGGATGCCCATAACTGAGCCTTGGCTGGCTGGATCCGCTTTTCTCCCCCATCCACCCACACCTGCGCACCAGCCGGGCTGCTCAGCCTTGTCCCCAAGTCCCACCCCCACCACCATCCCCCAAAGCTGAGATGCCTTGTTTGTCCCCCTCCCCTCAGTCCTTTCCAGGAACAACATCACGCCCCTACCCCCTCGCCCCTCAGGGACCTTGGACGACCAGCCTCCTCTGTCTGGCTTCCGATGCTGGGGACAGGAGCGCACGCCGGGGTATCTTCGCCACCCCCGCCCAGGTTCCTGCTCCAGCCTCCCGGAGGGATGCCAGCACCTGCCAGGAGGAAGAGTCGGCCCCGCTGCCCGCGAACGGGCTCCGGGAGACAAAGAGCCAGGATCCGGGCCCGACCCCTCCCCCAGCCCGGCCGCGGCCCCGGCCCCAGCCCCAGCCCGGGCCCGCCACCACTTGCTGGCCCCGCGCGGCTCACCTCCGGCTCCGGCCTCGACGCCGCTCCACGCACGCACGGTCGCATGGAGTGGAGCTCGGCCGAGCACCGCGGCGGCGGGAAGGCGAGGGGAGTGGGCTGCGGGCGGCGGCGCTGGGGGTGCCCGGCGGGCCCCGCCCCTCCGCCGCGGGCGGGGGAGCCCGGGACGCGCGCGCGCTCGGCGGGGACCCGGGAGTGTGGCCGGCGGGAGCGCGCCAATGGGTGGGGGGACCTCGCGCGTCGGAGCAAGGGGCGGCCTCGCCGAGATCCGGGGGAGGCGGGTTTCCACAGATGTGTCCGACGCCCCAAAAGCCAAGAAACGGGGCTTGGCGGGGAAACACTCCCCCGAGGACCCTCACACCTCCCTAAACGCAAGCTCGCGCACCTGCTCCGACCCCCCACCCTAACTACTCAGAGACCAAGGCCCGCCTGGACGCGGATAGGCTGTGTCCTGGCAACCAGGGGGCGGGACCACCGCGCCTCTGGCCCACCGACCAATCCAGACGCTCCGTGCCCCTAATCCCAGTCCTGGCCTTCTCCACCGAGAAGGCCAGCAACACTGGTTTGGAGACCTGAGTTGTGAGGAGTCCATCTCTTTCAGACATCCCATTTCCCAAGGAAATCTCTTACCTGGAACGGGATAGGGGCTAGAGCTTCTGGGGAAATGCACCCCTAACCTGGGGATTTAGGGAATGAGAGGCTGATTCGAGATTGGAGGGGGAAGGGAGGAAAGGAAAAAAATCAGTACATGGAGAGGGGACACAACCTTCTGCAGAACAGAAAGATCCATCGAGTTTACAAGAGGTCCAGGCAGCAAAGAGTTGGTGGGGTAGCTGGGTTGTGGGGGATTAGATTATGAGGGTTTGGGATGTCAAAACAAATGCTTGAAGAAACAATTCGAATATCCTATTTTAGGGTATCAGCCCAGCTTGAACAAGTGAGGTGTGTCACTTTTCTGACTTTGTCTGCCAGCACATAGGAATCTCATGGTAGAACCTTACAGAGGACCCTACCCTTTAGAGGTTGTTACACCAAAACATCTATTAACACCAAGACCCTCCTTCCCCACACCCCATTGGGGCCCTTCACAGAGAGGAATTCAGTTCTAGGTTCACAGCCACTGTTTCCTTTTTAAAATTTGATTTGTGTATATATGAATGTGTGTGTGTGTGTATTAGTAAGGAACTTGAACTCAGCACTTGGACTCTTTCCTTAGCTTTTTCCCTTAAGGCTGGCACTGTACCACTTAAGCAGTGGTTCCACTTGCAGTTTTTTGTTTTTTAACAGTTTAATTGGACATAAGAGTCTCAGGGACTTTACTTCCTGAGCTGGATTAAAACCTGAACTTCAACCATCAAATCTCAGCCTCCTGAGTACCTAGGATTACAGGTGTGAACCACCAAGATGCAGCTCAGCTGCTCCTTTGGAGGGCACCATGCAAGTCTGAGCAGGTCTTTGAAAGCAAGAAGGCCTCAACAGCCACGTGAATTGGACAAAGGCCTCAATCACCAAGAATTCCTGCAGATAAGCTGATCTTATCAGCCTCAAGATGCCACACAAGTTACTGGGGTTTGTTTTGCTTCTAGGCAAGTAGCAATCAGCTAGCCTTGGCATCAGGGACCCTATGAAGGGTGACAGCTTGAACTCAGGTCCTGTGCTCTGACTCTGAGCTTCTTTTTGCTCAAGGCTGCACTCTACCACTAGAGCCACAGTACCACTTGCAGGGTTTTGGGGGGGTTTTTTGTTTGTTTTTGTTTTTGGTGACTCATTGGAGATAAGAGTCTCACAGACTTTCCTGCCCAAGCTGGCTTTGAAATAATCCTCAGATCTCAGCCTCCAGAGTAGTTGGGGTTATAGGCATGTGCCATAGGCTCCTGGCTTGTAGCTGAGATAGATCTCTAAGGAGATCAAAGACTTCCTTATCTGGAATTACCAGTCCCCGTTGGTAGCTAATTGTGTTCAAGTGTTACTGTAAAACATTTAGAGGCCCTGGTGCCAGTGCTGGCTACAATAAAACCTACAGGACAGCCTATCACGAGGATCAGGGTTCACCTTTGCAATACATGTTGTGGTATTTTAAGATTTCAAGTAATAAATAAATGGATTGAGTCATTGCAGGTGCTAGCCATGAAAAGGACCAAGTCCTGAGACAGATCCCCTACAATTTCCAAGGACAAGGTGAAGCCAGGTACCAATGGGTCGTGACTGTAAGCCTAGCTACTCAAGAGGCTGAGATCTGAGGATCATGATTTGAAGCCAGACTGGATAAAGAAATCTGTAAGACTCTTATATCCAGTTAACCAAAAAAATAAAAAGGCTTCAAGTAGAGATGTGACTAAAGTGATAAAATTCTATTCTTGAGCAAGAAAGGTAAAGAAAATACAAGGTTCTGAGTCCAAGCCCTAGAACCAACACACACACACACACACACACACACACACACACACACACACAGGAAAAGACAGAAGGAAGGAAGGTAAAGGAAGGAAGGAAGGAAGGAAGGAAGGAAGGAAGAAAGAAAGAGAAAGAAGTGGTAGGTGCTAGGGGATGGGGCAAAAAAATGAGGAGTTAGCTTTGAAAGGGAGTTAGCATTTTTTAAAAATGATTGAAAAAACATTCTGGAGATGCACAATGGTGATAGTAGCACAACACGGTATGTGCTCCTAATGATGTCACTGGTGTTCAAACTGCTTTTTACTGAAAAAGTCCAACTAAAAACAGGAAATAAGAGCCTGGTGTGCGTGTGGCAGGGGGCGGCTCATGCCTATAATCCTAGCTACTTAGGAGGCTGAGATATCTGAGGATCATGGTTTGAAACCATCTCAAGCAGGAAAGTCTGTGAGACTCTTATCTCCAAGTAAGTACCAAAAAGCCAGAAGTGGAACTGTGGCTCAAGTAATAAAGCTCAGGGACAGCACCCATGCCCTGAGTTCAAGCCCTAACACAAGCACAAACACACATGCTCACATGAAAAGAGATAGAGAGAGAGAGAGAGAGAAGGAAGAAAAGGAAGGAAGGAAATAAAAGAAAGAAAGAGATAGGAGATAAGCTTTAGGACCCAACCTTTACTCTTCATTTCTCTCTCTTTTCTTCTGAACCATTCTCTCCTGCAGGTACTTCAGAGCCATCTTAGAATGCAGGAAGGAGTAGACAGGACACAGGGCCAGGTGTCAATGACTCTGTGTGTGTGTGTGTGTGTGTGTGTGTGTGTGTGTGTGTGTGTGTGCCAGTACTGAGGCTTTCTACGTTTTTTCACTCAAGACTGGTGCTCTACCACTTAAGCCACAGCTCTACTTCCAGCTTTATGGAAGTTAGAAATAAAATTATCGGGGCTGGGAAGGTAGCTCAGCGGTAGAGTGCTTGCCTTGCAAGCATGAGGCCCTGGGTTTGATTCCTCAGCACCACATAAACAGAAAAAGTCGGAAGTGGCACTGTGGCTCCAGTAGTAGAGCGCTAGCCTTGAGGGGAAGAGCTGAGGGACAGCGCCTAGACCCAGAGTTCAGGCCCCATGACCAGCAAAAAAAAAAAAAAAAGAAAGAAAGAAAAAAGAAAAGAAAGAAAATTATCATGGATTTTTTTTTTTCTGCCCAAAACTGGCTTTGAATCTAATCCTCCTGAATAGTGAGGATGTCAGTTGGGAGCCATCAGTGCCTGGCCTCATGTGACCAGTCCTGAGACAATGGGCTGACAGACCCACTGCTGTCACCCCTGACCATCTGAACAGACCTGGAGCTGGGACTCCTTAATTACACATACTCCGCTCCCTCCACCCCCCAGTTTTTCTGTCTATTTAAACCTATGCTCATGTTTGTATCCCCAAAATGGCCGAAGATGAACTGAACTGCCTCCTTCCCCTTGACTCTCAGTGCCATGTCCTAAACCTCCTTTATCTGAAGTTCACTGTGTCTCTCTATTTGACCCATAGGGGTGAGTCACCAGACCTGATACATGGGTCTGGGACCTAAAAACTATAGTTTTGGTGAACACTGGGCTGTATACTTAAAAGTAGTTAAGATCAGCTGAGCATCAGTGGCTCATACCTATAATCTGAGATACTCAGGAGGCTGAGTTCCAAAAAACCTAAATTCAGGCCAGTCCAGACAGAAAAATCCAAGACTCCATCTTCAACCAACCAGCAAAAAAAGAAAAAAGAAAGGGGGGCTGGGAAGGTGGCTCAGTGGTAGAGTGCTTGCCTTGCAGGCATGAAGCTCTGCCTTCAATTGCTCAGCACCACATAAACAGAAAAAGCTGGAAGTGGTGCTGTGGCTCAAGTGGTTGAGCACTAAGCTTGAGCTGAAGAGCTGAGGAACAGCGCCCAGGCCCAGAGTTCAGGCCCCACAACCTACAAAAAAAGAAAGGAAGGAAGGAAGGAAGGAAGGAAGGAA